AATTTAACTTGGTGACTCAAAGACAACTGACACAAAACACCTAAGAACACAACTGCTATCAAATATGCTGCCAGCAATGTCACCCAGGGGAAATGAACACAACATATTTTTTGAAAATTACAATCCTCTAATCATCACCAAGAACTGATGACTCCTWTGGGGTTCAAACACATCCCCCAGACAACAGAACCTGCTGATGATTTACTGAGCAGATTCCCTGCTTTTGTTAAAGCATGTATCTGAGCAGCTCCCACGAGAGAATAAATGTCCAGCTTTGCAGCTCWGCAGAACATTAAATTGTTATTTAGAAACTATTGTAGCTTGTACTTGTGGCCTACAGTAAGAGATAAAGTACTTAGCACAGCAATCTATACAAATATTCACAAAACTGTGTTTATACCATTCTTGCATACATTTTAACCCAAACATTTGCATTRCCAACACAAAGGAACCAACCAAGTKGYRCTGTTCTTACTGAATASATTTACATYRCTGCAAAGCAGAGTCTGTGTTTWAGGAGTTTCCCRTGTTCACACTTTGTTTTGCTCACAGGTAWATGTGAGCCCAGCTGTAATTTAGCCAACAGTTCTTTGTGCAGGGTGGATGTAAAACACAACTCAAGATTATATTCCARATTTACAGACTGTTTGGGGTTGGAAGGCACTCAGAGAGAGCCAATCCCACAAGGCTGCCCAGGGCTGTGTCTTGACAAGTCCAGGCATGGAGTGTCAACAACCTCTGGGCAAACTGTCAGAGGGTTCCATCACCCTCACACTGAAAAAAAAGAGTTTTGTTATTTTTTCTTGTCTTTCAGTTTGTGCCCATAATGAGCATGATGGAAAGAAAATCTCTTAAAAATGAGGACAATTGATATGGAAACCACAGAGATAGGAAAATGGACCATCACAGCATTTTAGATTTTCTTTCACCCACTTTCTACATCTTTCAGCTCTTTACATGCTTGAAATCATACAAGCTAAATGATGATTTCTATTGAAAGACTCATTTATACGGTCCAAAAACTGTGATTCTTGTTGCCAAAGATCCCTCCTAGTTTTATATATATATTTACAAAGTTACATGAATGTGATAATTTATCACACTGATAAAAATGTGATTAAAATRCAATAAAAGCTTGTTATGACAAGCTTTGTTTATCCATTATGGACCAATCGTAAGTGCAAATAAATGTTAATTTAAGCAAGTATTACCAGACAGGCCTTCACCACATAGCAGATGTAGCAATCTAATTCAGCAGTGCCAATTCTTGATTTAGGTTTTGCTGYACATGGACTGGAAAATTTATCCTGTGGTGTCAGTTTTATTATTGCAAAGGATTTTTTATTTGGCATGTAAACAAACAAATTAGTGCCAGAATCTATTTCTTACATTAAAACATGAAAGTGGACTAGAAAGGAAACTCTTTGACCACTCCTGTGACTGAGCTAAGGCAGGATCAAAACAGAAAAAGATATAAAGTGAGATTACAAACGGTAGACTGAAGAAAGAAAAAATACATTAATGACAGTTCACAGCATAAGGATTGCAAACAAGTGACATTTCCACGAGTAATCACTAGCATTGGACACCATAATGGGAAGAAATGTAGCAAAGTCATTCACATTATTGTGYTGCAAACTGTTAGCTGAGTTTCAAAATAAAAGCAATTTCTTCYTCTGTAAGAGTGGCAGGCTATTTCATACAGCTCAATTTAAATGTTGTGCCTCAACAGATCTGTGCCTGATTTTATGGAATCACTGCACTCGGAAGGGAGGAATTCCCAAAGGAATAAACTCACAATAAAAATTATAGGCAATATTCATTCTGGCATTAAATTAACAGTGGATTCAGTCTTAAGAGGTACTAATCATGTGTTCTGTTCACCATGATCATATTCTGGGACAAGAATCAGGTCTTAAAAGTGATGAATTAAAACTGACCCTGAAATTTCTATCTATAGGATGCCTAATCAGACATAACCTTTATGGGATTTTACATTTTCACACTGAAGCCTGGTCACTTAATTTTGCAGTGAGAAGAAACTCTTTAAGACCAGATAATTGGTTTTTTTTATTTTAGATTTCACTGCTTCCTAATAGACTGTAATTTTTCCCCCTAAACTGAGGTATTACTACTCTCTACACAGTCCTAGGACTAATAACTCAATGTTTTGTAATTACTCTTTCATTGATAGATATGCAATCAACTGTACATACATTTGTGCTACAGAGGAAGAATTAAATCTATAGAATTTTTCAATGTATTTACAGTGTTTTATAGTAAAATATTATTAAACCAAAATATTATTAAACCTAACAGAATAGCACAAAGGTTACAAGTGAATAATGTAATATACAATTCAMAGACTGCAAGATATTTAAGGTGTCCTGTTGATAAAGCTCAAAATCCATTACAGAAGGGTAATACTGGAGATGTTGGCAATAGGAAGTGGAACTGAAATGCATTTTCTTTCAGATGCTTTTAAAATCACCAACAGTGGCAGGTCATGACTCTCAGAAAATAAAGGCCACAGAGAGTTCAAATGATAGCCAAGAAATGATGGCACTTTCAGACTCTGATAGATGGGGCAGATTCTAGAAAAGTTCTTTTTATTAATTTAATGCTGCTGCTCCAGCTGCAGAAGAGTCTGATAGCTCAGTAGTAAAATGCATTAAAAAGCTATTTTGTCTGCTGCTGGAAATGAGGAATACAGTTATTTTGCTCAATAGCTGAATTTTTCCAGAATCCCACTAGTATTCCCAGAGAGATCTATCTACTCTAGCCAAGAGAAAATCCTGATACATCTRTTATATAACCAAAAGTTCTCAGGAAAGAATTCACAGGTACCTGCATGAACAGAATCTCTTTGCCATGATGTCCAGATGTCCTAGAATATTCCAGTCCATTGTCCCATGCAATGTGTGGAGAATTAGGAAATTGCCAAATGCAAAAAAACCTCTAAAAATAAACATATTTTATGCAACCTGTGGGCCAGGTACATGAATGCAAAGTTAGCACCAGTGCAGTGCATTCCAGTGGTGTTTAGGAATGGGTGACAAACGCTGTTGGCCAATTTCCTTCAGCAAATCTCTCTCCTTAGAGATAACTGCATTATTTTGCATCATAATGCTTCACTTTGCCATTTATAACATTTAAACATGCTGCCTGCTCARTAAAACTTTGCTCTTTCTGTGAAATTAATTGAATCTCTCCCTACATTGCATTTATTAGAAGAAATAGAGTTGGAGGTTTTTATTTCCCTGACTTGTGCAGCATTGGTAGAACCCACCACAAGGGTTGTGATTTAATCYTGACCTGTGCAGGTCCCCATTCCTGGCACTTCTTTTAAAAAACACGTGAGATCTACATTCTACTTACACACTTAGAAAAGAGATGAGACTAAGCATCTGAAAGCAAGTTAATTGTTTAGGGCTGAGGAGTAAGAGGAAACTTTTTCTCCCTTCCTGTTTTTGACATAAGTGACCAGGARATTCTAAATACACTATTCTTGAAGTATCTTTTTCAAAGTAGAACCAGAAAACAGCGTAATAAATTACTTCTGTAACAACTGCACATTAAGACCAAAAAGAAAACAAAACCACATGAAAAAAATTATAATTGTATTTACAATTACATTTTACAATAGCAAATGTATTTTGTATCTGCTGCCCTCTTCTTTAAAAAASCAAATCAGTACAGCATAAAGGATAACTGCTTTAAAATGACTCAACAAAAAGCCTTACATGAGCTCCTCAACTGGAACTTGAAACCATTTCCATCTTTACAGCCCTTAGTCAAATTCTGCACAGTAAGTTCTTAGGGAGCAAAAGGCAAGTCTTTTAAGAAGTTTGTCCCCWCAAACATCACTTTGCCATTTATAACACCATCATCAAGATGTCTCATCAAATTGATTTTAGTGTTTCAAMTCCACAGAAAAATTGGAAACTCATGAATGCCACGAAATGCATCTTGGCATTCTTCCACTCATCTATTACATTTTCTAATAAATAGAGCTTTCTTGAAATGCAATTTCAACTTGAAAATCTGACACACTCTGCAAAAGACCAGGCAAGTAATATGACTAAATATGTGTGCAGCTATCAAACATATTGATTTGAAATTGGTCTTGAAGCTGCAAATGAATCCATCCATGGATTCACAGGCAGGGATGCACAATCCCTGTGCAGAGGCTTGTGGACAACAAATTTCACATGAGGACTTACTGTAAATGAGTGTTCCATCTATACATAATTTGTACAGGTGTAGAACTGAAAAACAATTACACTGAAAAATTAYGAGTGAAAGAAACAACACGGCTTTCCAAACAAATTTTCATTAATATTATTTCTTAAATGGTTTAAAATAYCATTTACAAATAAGTAAAGAATAAAGCCTAAAGGAAAAAGGGAAGGTTTTACCAGATCATATTCCTTGTATGATGRCATATCAAAGGGTTTGAGATGCTTTAACAGATGATTGCTACATTATTTCTGGACATATTCAACTTTAACATTAATGACATTAAAACCTGTGCCAGCAGACTGCAAAATTCAGCCAGAATGARTTCAAAAGCTTTACTTCTTTACTTGGTTAGTACAGACCTAATAGTGCTTTAMTCATCTCCCAAAATAAATATTAAAAAATAACACCAACCCCACACAAGCAAAACCAAAATAAAACTAAAAGAGACCGAATAAAASAAATGGTGGAAAAGAAGAGCACATGTAAATGCAGATTTTGAAGTTACTTAGGTATTTCTGGAAGCTTTTCAATATGATTTTCCTTCAAAGTCACCATTTAAATAAATAAAAAAAAATACTCTGTTTTTCACATATTCCTTTAAATATAACAAAAGCACTTGCAATCTGAACTGGAGCCCTCTATTCAAAAAACTTCAAGATTTAAGATTTAAAGATTTTGGAGATGATGGCATTATATTTTAAATTAATCTGTCATGAAAAAAACCTTAATATTTTCTTGAGTACTTGACAGATACTTACACAAAAAAGGGCATCAGCTGAATAAGTGTCTCTTTTTTGGGATTGGCTGTGAATTCTGGCACAGTTTGAATAATTTTGTTCATTACATTCCTTAGGTAATTTTGTAGCTGCTTGCGTCGCTCTTCTACAAACTTCGCATCCTAAAAATAGAGAGGAAAAAATATAAATGGCACAAGGAACATGTTTCTCAACTTTATAATGTAACTAAACATCTCCAGTAAGCATAAAAATCGATCTTTTGATGATCTCTTGTTATTCTGGCTACATAAATACGTTGGCAATATGCAAAAACCCCTTGACTCTGTCCTTAGAGATAAAGGCAAATCATGAATCCTAATAAAACCTTTCACAAAAACATCCACTGACAGGATGTCAGATCCTCTCCCTGGCAGAATCTGTCTTCTCTGGACCATAAACCACTGCAATCTTGGAGAGGCAGAGCAGAACAGCAGCACAGAGGCTCTGGAATAACAATTCATGCAATTTTTTTGAGATCCAGAGTTACCAGTCTTTGCAGGAGGAAACGCTGACTTACTCCCACAATGTCTCCTCAGTTCATATTTTCAKGTGTTGGGTACACAAACTCCAGAATGGATGAGTATTTCTCCAGCATTTTTGTTATTGGATTATTATTTTGTGATTGTGTCTCCATATAGTAGTTTGATTCTTTTTCATATTATATCACAACTCTCATTAAAATGTTTACTAAAGTTTCYGTAGCATTTTAGATCCCAGGATTTTACATTATGTTGGCCCAAATAAACAGAACAGTTCCATAAACTCCACCTTCTGCTGCTGGACTTAGAAGTCTATCACAACAAGCAAGATGTCACACATCCCACAATTCTCATCCAGTTTAAACCTTYTCCCTGTGAGGGATCACAGTGACAGTGAACTGTAATAGAAAGGTGACCCATTTCACAGTAACAGGGAGCTCTAACAGGTTTCCAGTGACAWCAGGCACTGGATGCTTTATGCCACAACCAGAGTGCTCTGTCTCAGGAGTGCTGGCACTGCTCACCTGGTTTAAATGTCACAGTGTGTTCTTTAGGCACAAAGCCAAACCTATTATTAGACAATTACACCTCTCAAAAAAGACCACTGTCTATAAGATGTGTCTATCCAACCTGTATTATTTATGCCTGTAAGAAAAGGCATTGAAATTAATTCTTGTTTCTTTAGGGGAAAAAAAAAAAAAACAACCCAAGCCGCCAACAAAATACCATAAATACATTTGACAACACTGAATAAATTCATTGTATGGAAAAGGTTCAGCCCATGCTGCCATGCATGGGATGCAAATCTGAAGGTTACTGCTTCCCTAGATAGAACAGAACAACACCATCAAAGCACGGATGCTCCTTTGAGTTCAGGAGGAATTCGCTGTAGCATTCCTAGAACCTTCACTGACATTTTGTTCTGTTCTTCTCTCTCATTAGAAGTTACYAGGAACAGGAATATTTTTAGGAGTAACAAATCAGACATAATTGTAGGGACATAACAGTGTAAGACACAAGAAACCACATGAGCAGTGGTGACATCTGGCACTGGAGCCCTGTGCAGGAYAATCCTGCTTTGCTCCACAGGGCAGTTCCAGTGCAGACCCAGCCCCAGCTCCGAGCCCTTCCTCACCCTCACTGCACGCCCTTCATTCTACTTTCACCACATCTACCAATTACATTTTCAAGTTCACAAAGAAACAGCCATTTATAAATGCCACATTCATCAGCTTTTTCGGTTCTGAAGTTTGTTTGGTCACAAATCTTCCACAACAATATTTYCAGTGAAATAATTATGTTAACATTTTCTTATAAGCAGAAGCTGAGTTCCTTTAGTGTGACTTCTGTACTGCACATCTATTTAAATAAAAACATCTTTCATAGCAAGGACTTCTTTTGTAGACACAGGAGCCAAATGTTGAATGCAGGTACTTTCTATCCCTTATGTTATTGTAAAGAGTCTCCTTGACTACAGAAGATAATGGCACAAAGGACTTTTCTAATTAAGACTGCCAGAACATGCTGAGGGAATGCTTTTTTGCTGTTTTCAGCCAATTAAATTAGTGCCTATAATATGGCTATTTTTTTTTTTACCATTTGTCCAAGCAGAAAGCAGAACATCCCAGAAATTAAACTCAGCCTGAAAACAGTTAAAAATGTCCTTTTAGCCTGACATGAATTTGATCTGTAAAACAAACACCAAGCAATCTACCATGAAATTCTGTACCATGTAGCCACGCTCGCTGTCCTCACCAGCAGCAATGTAAACCAAGGTCAAAATGATTCAGCTGCAGGTCTGCACTTTATCATTARACGTGCGCTTTGCAACAGCAGGTCGGCTACTCAGAGGAATGATTTTAGCACAAAGTTGTTACTGCCAAGCTGTTGCAGTAATAAAGAGTTTTTGTCACAATATAGTAAACAGAACAACTGGTAACAGAAAAACACAATTGGCTCAAAGCCCGGCCAGTTTTTTCAGTCTTAAATTATAAAAAGGCACCTGTAACCTTCTTTTCATTGGGCTCAATTATCTGCAGCAGAAATTTAGGTGGTGCTTTATATTCCAACTCGTAAACAAACACCTACTTTTATTTACAAGCAAAAAGTAAAGGGAAATTTTTTGATTTGGATTTGTATCAGTGACACCCACCCCCTACTTTTAGTACATGTCTTTGTGATTGTATGAGTCAATAGTACATTTGCATATGTACTCACACGGAAAACAGCAAAGATCTTCCCCTAAGGTTCAATCTACACATTTATGTACACTTGATGTCAATGTGCTTTGAGGACAAAGTAATTTTGTTAAAATTACAAATACATCCACTTTGCAAAAAGCTCTTGCATTTTCACATTATTAATGGTTAGATTACAGAGTTTTATTGTTAGGAAAACAAATACATCTACAGGAAGATAAAGGAACAGTACAAAGACCCACATTTAACATTTCACTGAAGAGAAGAAAAATCCTGCTAACATGGTTGAAAAAGGAGACCTGCTCTCAAAACATGGATGGGTGTTTTTACAAGCATCAAAAGTATTTTCTGAAATGCAGGTAAGAAAAATGTCCAGAAGAAATGAAACAAGTAAGGTGAATAAATAGCAGGTCTTGTCTCTAACAAGGAAGAACTTGTCCTGAATCACCAAGTCAGTCATTTGACTTGCTGGGATCTGGAACAARGTGAAGAGCTTTGCTTTGTCTCATACATGTCTCTTTTTATCTGCAAGTAATATTTGACCTTCCTAATTGATGAAGAATCTCTTTCCATGTTAAAAGAAGGGGCACCCTATAGAGGGGGGCTTTGTTATAGGAAAACCCATCCAGATTCTGATATACATCTGTAGGGCATCTTGGCTGTATTTAACACCAATTTATGCAGAGTAAACTTAGACTTTACAGAAATGATCAACTGAGACTTAACATCCTGGCATTCACCTTCAATTTTAAGGCATATTTTCTAAAAAATAAAACTCCTACCCTTTCTGCATAAGCTACTGTGAAACTAATTTCCTAGCCCACAGTTCAAGAGCAGTTTTCATTAGGAGACCACAAAATTTCAGTTAACAAGCAAAATTCCCTYAGATTACAGAAGCATCAAAACATATCTGGGAAAATATTTTTAATCTGAAATTCATGTCTCCCAAAATGTTGTATGAAATTCTTTTTGACTGATAATTTGCCACATTTCTTCTGCCCACAGCAAAATGCTAATATCAAATTAAAAATCTCTAAAAATTTTAATAGATCATGGCAATCTTACAGACTCTAACACATATTAGAGGATGATGTTAAACTGTAAAACTAAGAAGCAGAGCCTTGATGTACCATGTTTTATTTTTTGCAGTTTTTCATTYCAAGCCAAGTTCATTCCAACTTGCAGTTTAAATTGTTTCACACAACTGCTGGTCTTTAACACACACTTTTAGTATGTAACAGATGGCAAAACACTGATATTCTTCATTATTAATGGGACAGCTCACTTAAGATGTTTCAAATATTTTCCAGGAGCTGTTGGAAATGCTATGATTGCCATGGTTACCTGCCATGATTTAGGGACAGATAAAACACTTTTAGATTCTGGGCTTGGTGCTGTTGCAATCAACACAAAACTGCTTTTGAGGTTCTAACCATTACTTACCATTTAASCAACCTCCTGTTTGCAGCACTGGGGACAAAATAACCAAAAGAAAACCAAACAACAAAACAGCTGAGGGTTCAATCCAACTCAATCAAGGTAAAAATAAATATGAAATAAAAGGAAATATGGCTTTAGGACTTCAATCAGCCCCTGATACCACACAACACATCCCACCCTAAATAAAGCTGACAGTAGTGCTATTCAAAGTYGAACCTGAAAATGCAGAAATAAACTCAGGTTATTCTGGTGTAACCTAATGTTTTTCACCAAATTTTCCTACCAGTTTTTATCTATTTATGAGGCATCAAATGATAACCTCAAAATGAAGCTGGAGATCAGAAGCTGAGATGGGAACTAATTAAATATTCAATTGCTGAGTCACTCTCACTAGTTTGTAATTAAATAAGTTATATAGCAAATATTCATTTTTACAGGCTAAGTGAAACATTTGCACAGGTCACAATAAAATACAACCTCAATGCATCTGTCCTTCAATAACTATTGCACCATAAAACTTTCAGRAAGGTACAGTTTCCAATTCTAAATATCCCAAATTACACCATATTACACAAAAATCATCTCAAAATTATTGAAACTATGTAAGTTTAAATTTTCCATCTTACTGGTACTGCCAGTCTCTGTATGGCAGAACCAGGCCAGCGTTATACAACAYAACAAAGGTATACAATACATGAAATTGCCATTTTCCCCATCCCAGCATGAGATTTTGTTGTACATTTACTGTTCAGTGGAAAAAACAGGAATTTAAGAGGATGAGATACAAAGAAGAAATCAAGGAACTGTCAGTTTTGAAAAGAAATCTATTTTCCTTTAAACAGAGGTTCACTMCATAATTGTAATTATTACTCTGTGTTTCTCTACTAAAATAGCTAATGCATTTCCATCTCCAGCTCAGGGCCAGAAAAGTAATGCTTTTATCTAAAAGAGTTTGAAAAAGGCATTGCTGCAAACCCATCCAGTAGAAGGCATTCTGAGGGTGAG